AAGAATTTGTTAACTTCCCGAAGGAGAAGTTTATGTTTTCATCAAAAAATCCGATTCGCTAATTTTATGTTTTCTCGAGGTTTCAAGCCATTCTGAATCGAATGAGACCAAATTTGGAAAAAGTATGTGTGTGTGTGCGTGTATGTAAACAGATGTGAATCGGCTGGGCCGATTTCAATAATTTAAATGCCGTTCGATGTATCTCGACGAGGACTAGCGTTTCTCAGTTTCGTGCGACGATCTGCCGAGCCGTTTTTTTTATAAATAGCAGAAAATTGAAAAAAAATTCGTCCACGTTTTAGCCCGCAATTCTGAACCGATTATGAAAATTCAAAAACCGTTCGAAAGATATTGATTGGGAATCGTGCTGATTAGTTTTTGGTAAAGATCGACCGGGCCGTTTTCTTGTAATAAAGTGTTAAAAAAAAATTTTCGACGATTTTTATTATTATTTTTTTGACGGTAGATAGTATAGTCTTCTAGATCATACTAAAATATTACGGCCCTACGACAATTGGTTTAACTTTGAAAATTTGTCATAGTTTGAAATTTGGAGATCTAATGAAAAAAGTAAAAAAAATATGCCATTTGGCGGTCAAAAATGATCATTAGACATATGCACATCAAATTATCAGATATTTTATAGAGATTTTAACAATAAGTATAATTTTGGTTTACATTCCTATGGGTTCCGTACCAATGTTTACGCGTTAGACGTCGACGCGGCGCTTACGCGGTTTGATATTTCGTCTTCATGCAGTTAAAGCAGTACGATTGCTTTGAAAAAAAGTTTAGATCTTTCAAAATATGTCAAAATAAAGAAAACATTAAAAAAAAAAAAAAATTAAAAAAAAAAAATTAAAAAAAATTTTTTTTTTCAAAAAAAAGTAATTTTTTGTCTAATTGTTTGTCAAAAATCTTATTTTTTCGAAGTAATTTTTTTTCAAAAATGTTAATCGTTTTTAAAAAAATAATTTTTGGTACGGGAAGTTCCAGCAATTTGCCTTAAGGCACGATGCATTAATTGCCTTAAGACAGAATTCCACTTACAGCTAGTTATGGATTTTTTTTAGCGATATATATCATGGTCTTATAGTACTTACTGTAATAATACGGCCTTACGGCAAGTAGTTTAATTTTAAAAATTCATCAAAGTTTGAGAAAATGAGTAGTTTTTTTGACGTTTGTTAAAATGAAAATTAGATGATTTACTTGGTATAGAGTGTTCGTTCGTTTTCAATGATGTGTAATAAATCCACTCGAAATACTTTTAATCACTCATAAATTAATTTGTTTATTGTTGATTAAGTCAATTATTTACACATATCGGGAAGTTCATGGAACTTGCCTCAAGGCTAAATACCAATACCAACTAGTTTCTGAAAATGTCACCTCTTACTTGCTGATGATTGTAGGCATTTTTTATATTTTTATATATTATTAACAGCAATCAGAACTTTATAGTCCTAAAAGTTGTTGTGATGACTTTTTAATAACGTGGATCCCAACAGTAGGATGCGTCACCGAATACGAATTCAAAATTAAGTTGGGTGTTCTTTTAATTTAACTATGCCAATATTTTATATTTGCAAGTTATGTTCTTACATAGAACATTTCATAGTGTTAGATATACCATTCGATACCATCTGATCCGCAATTTTCTTCAACTTTATGAGAATATTAATGAAATGAATACAAGGACTTAGATTTTTAATCTTTTTATTGCATTATGTGGTTTTTATTGATGTGATATTCAATCAGAATAGGGCGGGGCATGAAGGTCCAATTTGACTTTGAGCAATTATATTGTGAAAACCAAACCAATTATATACCAACAGATAACACATATCAAACTAAAAACTATCTAATTTGTCACCTGGTTAGCCAGGAGGCGAACAGATTTTATGTTTTATTTTTAAATTTAAATAGATTTTACGAAATAATAGCTGCATTATTAAACCAATGCAAAATATAAATTTTATAGGTAGAATGATCTGGTATTTCGTCAGAAAAAAACATCAACAGAATTGGAATAACTATTTATTTAACTTATCTTCCGTAAAAATGTATTTTGAACTTGATTTTTTATGGTTTTATAATCATATCATTGTTCGAAAATGGCAATTTGAACCTTAATAAGCATCACAATGAATTATTGTACGAAACATTGATTTATTATGATGAGTAATTTTATAATAGGATAAACAGATGACGTATGTTACACACACCTGTGCCAAGATAGGTAGGGCTGCTGGTGATTATAGTGATTTTAACCATAAATCTGTTTATGGGATGCCAAAAAATAAATAATAAAAATCATAAATCCACATTAATTCTTGGCGGGCTTGCTCTTAGGTAAGTAGCTAGAGTGATAGGATCTGAATCAGGGGTCCTGGGTTCGAAACTACTGATGTCAATCAGTAGTAACATTGGTTTTCACTTTGTATTATAGACAGCAATATGTTTCGAAATAGCTCTTTTCGGCATTGCTGCATCAATAAAAATTCATCAGTATTATAAAAATTGTAATAAGAAAATTTATCACATAGAGATGTGAACTGTTTGGTTTGTCCCATCAATAGAAAACGGACAGGTAGAGCAGGGCATAAAAGTCCGGGTAAAAGGATAAAAAGGTTCGCACTTATATCTAGAAAACAAGTAAAGTTCAGAATGTTTTAACATTAGAAAGTAGAGGAAAAAAGATGCATAAACATGTTTTGAAAATCCATAACTTACATTACTAGATAACATAACATAACTAAATAAGGCATTGTTTGAAAATCCATAACAGAAGTTTTTTTTTAGTCGTTAGTTTTTTTGGCTGTGATCACTGTTATTCAGTATACTAGACCTTAATATAATTATTAAGTATACGTTATTTAATATAAGATGTATAGTTAATTTTAAAGTAGATTCAACAGTTTTTTATATATCACGTCATGATGAGTATTTTTGACGAAATACCAGATCAAGGTTATGTTCAGTGTTAACTGAATGTGTTAGCTCTGTAAAAAATGTACCCATGAATTTTATATTTTGCATTATTTCCTAAAATCCCTTTAAAATGAAAAATAAGGCATTGGACCTTTTTGCCGGCTAGCCGTCGCATTTTACCCTGTCTCTGGGGTAAAAAGGACCAGGTGACAAACTCTTGAAAAACAACAAAAAACACATTTGCAATGATGAAAAGTCCCAGCTTTTACTGAACATAATCAGTTAGTTGTTTGTTTGATATGTGTTATTTATTATTATACAATTGGCTTGGTTTTCACAATATATTTGCCCAAAGTCAAATTGGATCTATGTGCCCCGCCCAACTCTATAATATATTAAATATTATTTATCATTATATAAGTAAAAATATCGAATGATGATATTGCTGAATTACATATCTCCTGACACATTCCACTTAGCTGTACTTAAGGTAACATATATATAGTCATAATTATATTAATAATGAGTTTCTTAGTTCAACAAAGTATATAATATTTAATAAACACAGGCGCGCGCAAATGAAAAGAAAAGCATCACAAAAAGCTATACCGAGTTTTTAATATTAACTCATTTTTTATTTAAGTTACACTTGAATTTACATATTACTGTAAACATTTGCTACTTCAAACTATACTGCATATGTAATTATTTACTTAATAAATCGCTGCTAGTGTGATAATACTCTATAGATTTACAACTATATTAGTTTTATCAATACATGTTTCTCTTGACCGTCGATCGATATTATCATGATAAACAGCCCTCAAATATGCAATAATTGATTCGATATCGACATTGACATCACTTCGCACGTAATTCTAGACGCGAACGTATTTTCACTTTTTATGCAGGCCACACATTCTCAAAGTGTGCTCGAGAACAATACTGTAATGAAAAATTACTAATTTTTTTCTTGTATTATTGCATATTTATATAATTAAATATGATCTAAAATATCTGCTATAAATTACATTTTGCGAATTCAGAGTTTGTTCAACATTTTATACCAATTTTATACCAATATATTTTAAAAATTATATTTTGCAGAGGTGTAAGTAATACTGCTACTTCAATATTGATTAAAGTCTAAAATAGTGTTGGATTATTTTTTGCATATTTATTATTAAAATATTATATATGTATGTTTATTTAGATAAGCGACCGATAATCCAAATGCAAATTTGATTTGTTATTTGAATTTTTTATACAAATCAGCTAAATCGCTGTCGAATTAGGTGCAAATAAACAATAGCATTCGTGATCCAAATCACTTTCTCATAAAAGTTTGTTATATATGATAGCTCTCATTATTAAGTCAATAACTGTCTGTATTTGTCTATATTCACGTGTCTTTAATTTTATTTGTTTTAAATTTAACAAAAATTATCTGGATTAAAGAAGCATTAAGAATATTATTGCATTAAATTATAAAGTTAATTCTAAAGTAGATTTAAAGATGGGAATCGAGTAGATATGTGAGAGAATGTTTTTTAAATTTTAAATTTTGCATTTTTTTATGAAACATGATTTCAGAGTTTTCATAAAATTATAAGTTAATGAAGGTCTGAATTTGTCAATATTTTTATTAATATATACATAATATAAAACATGTACATTTTTTGTACATTTAAGTTTTCTGTGTCTATGCAGCAAATACACTCCCAAAGCTTGAGCTTTTCAAATTATTTTATTTCGCATATTAACATAAAGCCTTTTCAAACATTATGTTGTGCCAAAAACGTATGCCAAGTATTTATATAGTTTTAAACTAATTGATTTGATTATCGCAAAACTTATCAATCTTTTGATAAAACTTAACGCATACGTGCACGCTAGCTATCTGAATTATGAAAGTAAATTGTAATTTCAGTTGGCCTAGGATCATCAACTATTATTGATATTAAAGTATTATGTGCAATTAATTATTGCAACTGAAAAAAAATTATAAGATTATTAATTATAATAGTCCAGTAATCTATTATTGTCTTGTGTATTTTATGAGGTAGCGTGAGGATATACTGGTGAGAGTTCAGCGCAAGAACTTTGGTGTTCATGTCTCAAGAAGTTTTAAGTTGTCATCTAAATTATAGTAAGGTATTGTAATTTTATAATTTAATAATTAATTTTTTACGATAAGAATAAAATTATACTTATTAACATCAGAAAAATTTGGTATTGTAATACATTTGTAATAGGTAATAGACAATAGAGATGATGTCTCTCAAATCAGTTATAGGAAGATTGAATTTACGAAGAAATCAAACCTTCTCAGAAAAAATAAATGTTTCCTCGTATGTGTGCGTATGTATGCAAGCTTCGCCTTGTTCGAGATCAACCGGTGTGAATAGACAAATAGTAAAATATTCGCTTTGTATTAATAATTTGCTTAGCCCATTGGTTTCTGGGAAATACATATACATTCATTTAGTTATGGGAAAAAGTGCAAAAGCAGACATAAATTTTGTGTACAAAAGTGATTATTTTACATATTTTACTCATTAAATTATTCTGTGTTCGAGTTTTTTTCCATTTTTCAGTGTGTTTTGTATTAATGAGGACGTTTTTGAGAATTTTTATAATTTATATTTGTTTCATGAGCAACACCGTACAATTATGTTCAGAAATTGCAAAAATACGGGATTTTCTTTTAATAAGTAAAGAATTCCATACCAGTTCAGAGAAAGTTATAATATGCTTACAAAATTAACACCAAATAAAGGATTTTCACTATCGGACTAAAATTTTAGATAATTTAATGATATTGAATACACAATTATTGATAGATATTATTCTACGCATTTGGTTTTCAAATTAAGTTTAATATTTATATCATTCACGCAAAATAACTATACAGTTTTTATTTAAGAAATCACTAGTGGTGCATGGCATCGTGCCTTAAGGCATTTTGCTGGAACTTCCCGAGCCGTAATTTAAAATTTATAAAAGCTTCGTAGTGTAAGGATTAAACTTTATAAATCTTGGTACGAAACCTATATAAATGTAAACAAAATTTGTGCTTATTATCAAAATCTGTATAAAATGTCTGATAATTTGATGCTTATGATCATTTTTGACCGTCAAATGACACTTAACTTTTTTATTTGATCTCCGGAACCGCTGGACCTGCCTTTCCTTAAAATGTAATCAGTTTTTTTATTTCGCCACTACAAATATTTTTTTTGAATCATTCAAATTGGACGCTCCGTTCTGTTAATCCATTTTTGGCACTTTTTGTTCCGTATCTTCGAAACGTCCATACCTTTGCAAAAAATTAATCAGGACGTCTCCCCATCAGTAGGAATCGAATGCTTTTTTGCGAGTACTATAACCAACCCTACGAGAAGCTTTTTTTCCAAAAAAGCATTATTTTGAAAATTTTAAATTTTCATTTAAAGTTGTTTTATATGAGTAAATTTAATGCTTTGAGATACACAAATCGTATAAACCGTGAGTTTACTACAGTATAATGCATTTAATGAAAAAGTATTTGGGAATCTATGATAAGTTAATATTTACGTATTATTATTTTCCTCGCGCAGTCAGTCAACATGGAATTTTTCTCTTATGACGAGTTTGTGTTTGTGAATTTAGGAATCTCCGCTTGCCGGACGGGGAATGGGTAAATTGAAATTGTTTGAATATTGATAATGTATTTGGAGAGATTCATTTTTTCCTAAGTTGTGAGAGAATATATCATTTATTATCTGCATAGAGTATTCTGTTAAATTCACGTGACCATATTATTTTGTATGAAATCCGGGACGTATTAGAATGTGTTTGAGAGCCGGGTGGGGGGGCGTAGTTGTTGGTGCACATTTTTTGGTATATGCACATTTTTTCGGTTCCAATTTTGTACTTTAAATATATTCAAAAATATATTGGCAATCAAAACATTTTTAAAAATCCGGGGCAATCCGGGACAAAACACCTAAAACTGGGACAAATATTGAATTGAACTTTTAGAAAAAGCCGGGACACAAGGCGGAAAATCAGGACTGTCCTAGCCAATCCGGGACGTATGGTCACCTTAGTTAAATCAAAATCACGGTTTCCATTACACTGAAATAACGGTTTTTAACTTTTTAAGAACTATATTATTTTATTTTATGTCAGATCTTGAATCCTTTATCATGAAAATTGGCAAGAGTATATATGAATGTAGATGTCAATGCAAATTTTGCTTTTCGTCGATGTTTTCTTGGTCCGATTTTAAATTTTTTTTTAATAAAACTCAGGTATGACTTGATCAGTTTTTTGCATAAATTAGCCTAGCTTAATCAAGCTGGCGGTTGAATACGGTAAAAATTTGACCCGAGTTCGATGCCTACTTCGTCCAGCTTGACATCAACCAGTAATGATATCAGGTTTATACTTCCAGATCTAAAATATAACAATAAATGAAAATAGCCTTTTTGTTGCTGCAATATGCACATCATCGCTTTTCGATAAGTAATCTAATAAAAATCTTATCAGGTAGAGAATTGTCAATTAAGGAATAAAATAACAACAGCTCATAGAAAAAATATTTTTGATTGCCGTTCAAAACAAAATAAAAAAGAGTCCATAAACATTAGATAGATTTCAAGTATTGTTAACATTCCAGTATAAATGTACAACAGTGTCTACAATGTTTGCTCCGAAAATTCTAATGCGACTTAGAAAATTCAAATTTTATTTAAGAGAAGGTCGGTCGGTCAAGCCAAGACAAAAATTTAATAATAAATAGTTTTTATTTTCATTATTTTGAAATTTTGAAAAGCAATCAGAACCTAAGAGTTAATTTGACTTTGCTACGCCGGTTTTACAGATGGTTTTACAATTTCTGTAACAGGACTATGGTTTTATTAATGATGGACGATGGTTATTTTCACTTACAATTAGAACAATATTGCTATCTATATTTCCAAGTGAAAACCTACTAGGATTTGGATTGCTCTAGCCACTTACCCACGAGTGAGCCAATTAATAGTTAAATCATCTTTTTTAAACAATATTTTATTTCTTGTAGACCAATATGATTGTATTCACATATCGAGCAGCCTCATGTCAAGTAGTGGTGACATCGTAAATATAACTAGCAATATATTTCCGAGTTAAAATAGCTTTTATCCGGCAATTGCTATTACAGGAAATATAATAATAAAAATTAATCACATAGAGATGAGATAACTGTTCGGTTCGGGTTACCATCTCATAAAAACCGTCGTAGTTTGCAAGTAATTTATCATAACAACTCATTAATCCCTTAAGTTCTGATCGCTGTTTGAATAAATAAAATATATCGGAAAGTTTATGAAACTTTCCTTATAACAAAATGCCACTTATCTCACGTATATTTCATATTACTTTCGTTGTAATAATAGTATAATAGGTGCTAGAAATTATAGCAAATATATACTGTAATAAAGTACGAAACTTGTCTATAGCCTTCGATATAAAAGTTCGGCATATAATATTAATATCTTCCGTTGTCTCACTTGATATTATCTTATCTTTTTACTCGAATTATATTAAATGAGTCATAACGTCGTTATGGTAATGGCATCATATACGCAAATGATTGCCGTTTTGCATACTTATGGGATTCGTTGAACTCATTTTGAGAATAAATTAAGCCGATTCGGATAAAGGAATGAACAGATGGCAAATGCTAAATTAATGTCTTCAGCTGATGCTGATATCGTGGAATAATGATTATCAATAAACGTTAGAACAAAGTGGAATCAATCTATTATGGTATATGTATTAAATGAATATTAATTTATAAATTTTTGTTCTTTTCTTATTCGAGTACTACACAAGATTTTATTCTGTGGAATAATTTAATAAAACTTTAACATTTGAAAGAGTATCGATTATACAACCCTGTAGAGAAAATGTCGTCAATTTCATTATAGACCAGCGATTAGAGCATTTCTATGGCTGTTATCAATTCTAAAAATTATGGTCATTTGTCATTTCTATCAAGTAGCTTGCCCATGTATGAATTGATAGACAAGCAAGCTAAGAGCTTGTTGTAACAGTTTGTTGAGATCTTCTGATTATAATTTTTACAAAATAAAGATGAATAGATTGTGTAACTATTTCTCTACCGAGTAAATCAAGTAAAAATAATTCCACAACTGTTATTCATTATTTTACAATTAATCAATTTCTAGAAAAAGTGCGACATAACAACTTAACCCATGTTTGCGACTAGTTGTAACATCTATCATTAATATATTATTAACTCATTTTTAAGGAAATTGACTTGTTTCTAAGTTTTACAGCAATACAAACTATAATTAATTTTTATCATGAATCAACGTAAGCTACAATTAATATCACAATGCAAATGAAATATATAGTGTCTTCTGTAACATAATTTACATTTGCTCTCATCCTACATACATTCTATTCAATCAATTGCTCTTGAATCTATATACAATTCAAGTGATACAACTAGCCCCAAGGTTTTGATTCAACTAATCCTAGGTGTAATTTTTACCTTCCTAAAATTTAATATTTGTTAAATTTTACATTAATCAAGACAACTATTTATACAATTTTGCAATTACGAAAATGGTTAGACATTATCAAAGATTGATAAGTTTGAAACGAAATAAGATATATACAATTCAAGTCGACAATAATAACGATTAATTTTATATTACCTGTCAAAAATGACGTACCTGCACAGTTCTGTTTATTGCGTCGGCCTGTGAGACAGTTGCTATGGTAATATTATGCAGGACGGTTTGCATGTCCAAACGAGACCAAAAAATATTTTAGTATCGTTCAAGATTATATTGAAAAACACCTGTTACTAGTTACTCCTGTTACAGATATCCCCTACCAACACTACTATTATACTGTGTGGTTTATAATTTTACCTTCAGGATTGTTTTGTATAGGGTCTAGTTGTATAAATTTATCGAATTTGTAAATGTTTTGAAATTCTTAGAAAAAATCTTAGATAAAAATGAACTATTTGTAAACTCTATGTATAAATAATTACAAATTTGTAAAAATCTATAATGTAGAATATTGGATCGAATTTTAGCGAAATTTTGTCTTACACATTTATTGCTATAGATTTTTTAATTATTAGACTA